CTGAAGTAGGATAATTTGAGCCTGGTCATTTGTGCCCTGAAGGAGTATTCTGGGTACATTTATTCAGTGACCTATTTGTTTGTTTTCTTGGCTGTCCATGGTATCCTCAGGAGTCTTCTGTAACACCAAAGTTCAAAAGCGTCAATATTCTTCCAATCCTGCTTTTACAAAGTCCAACTTTCACTTCCATAAAGTGCCGCAAGGAATACCATGGCTTGCATGGTTCTGATTTTTGTAGGTACAGACACATCATGGCATTTGAATATATTTTCCAAGGCCTTCATGGCTGCTCTACCAAGTGCTAGTCTGCAGCATATTTCTTGACTGCTTGTTCCTTTACTGTTGATAGTTAATCCTAAAAGGCAGAAACTATCCATCACTTCACATAGTTTGCATCATTTGAAAATGCAGTGCTTTTCTCTACAAGCAGGGTATATGTTGAGCAATAAATTCCCTAGTGTATGGAAACTTTCTCAGTGACTAGGCTCATAAACCAACTTCTACTGCTAGTAAAACCCACTGGAATATGAAACTATCCAAATTCCTCTCTAGCTCATTTTAAAATCTAAGCTAGAAAAAATGGGTTCCTCAGTACTGAACAGTCCATTTTCCTTTTAAATGATGTGATTCACTAATGATGGAGAAAATTTAAAAAGAAAAACAGGAATGGGTGTTCAAATTTATTTTGAAATTCACAAGGAAATGATTTTATCTTGGAAGTGGTTGAGAGAAATCCCTCCTCCTCCTCCTCCTCCTCTTCCTCCTCCTCCTAAAAAGCAAACTTGGACATTTCCTCATTACACCAGGGGATCCTCCCTATGTTTGGCATCTTCTTCAAGAGAATCACAATCTCTATAAAACAGTTCTCTTCCTTTAAATTATCAACAACATGGGAGAAGGAGCAAAGGCTTCCTTTCCATTTCTCCATCCTCACATTGAACAACAACAACAAAGGAGAAGGAGAAGGAGAAGGAGAAGGAGAAGGAGAAGGAGAACTCTCTCATGGAGCCAAAGCTTTTTTAAGTAAATGGGAAAGAAAATAATTAAATGTGGGCACAAGTTGCCTGAAGAATTTTTAGAAAGGAAAAGTAGAATATTAATATTTTAAAATTTAAAGGAATAAACACAACCATGCAGTATGAATGATCACTATCTATACTAGTTTATTGTTCAGCATATTGTCCACATTACTAATTGACAAAATGTAGCCAAGCTTTCTGCAAAAAAAGAACTATATTTCCAAGTTGCCACCGAGTCCAGTATCTAATTTTCAAAAAGTACCTATTGGTTAAAAAAAAAAAAAAGTGAAAAAGCTCACCATACAACTAGCACTGTTGGTTTTTAGGACATTCAAAACATTGCCTTACAGAAAAAAACCAAAGGGGAATCAAGTAATTAGTATACTGTTTTCAATTAATTTCTGCTTAAAATTAAATTAAAAATGAATCTGTCAGTTCCTCTTTAGGCAAAATATCTTGAAAACCCCACTAAGTGTTGATATTTCTCAAGGACTAGTAGGAGGTAGTTGTACATCATTAAGTTGTCACAGCATGATTCTTCTTCAAGAAAAATATTACATTTCTCTTCATATAAAAAGTCTGAGGATGTTTGAGGGAAATTGAAAAAGATATGATAAGATCACGAGAGCTCCCAGGCTTGATTGTGGGATCATGTGGAATGTATGTTGCAACTACATAAAACAATAGCCATTGCTGTACTAACAAAATATTTAAAAAACAGATACATAATACCTGCATCTGTAAATGAGGAGAATATTGTGGAATCTTCTTCAATAAGTGCTGTCTATGAGCCAGATGTTGCCCCCAGCACCACTTTTCAGGCTGATAATCCAAGAGAAGGGGAGATCAATGCTCCTAACCAGAGGCGTTCTCAGCAAGGGTCAAAAGAGGCAAGGCAATGTGCACAGCCATCGGATTGAAACTCAGCTCCTTTTTAATGTGTGTCATAGTCATGTCCTAATACATAGGGCTTTGATCATATCCACCACCTTGATTTTTTGACCGCTTCCTGGAGATAGATAGATAGATAGATAGATAGATAGATAGATAGATAGATAGATAGATAGATAGATAGATGCTTTTAGTCTCTTTCCTCATTTTTAAGGATTGGGAGATTTTATGGGCAAAATGGGAGTCTTAAGTTCTGCAGAGACTTAAAGTACACATTTCATCTCTTAAAATACCTCCGATCAGGCACCTTTGGTCCTGGGCCCACCCAAACTTGGTATGAAATCTTCAACATGTCACACAAAGCCTAGTGTGGCCCTTGAGGCAGCTGAAGTTGCACAACCATACTTTCTACCATCTGGCTGATCCTAGTGGTATGCCACTCATGGTCACATAAAAAAGCAAAGACTCTGTTGATTCATGCTCCACCCCTAATAACTGCATGAACAGGTCCATTTTTGTTTTCTTGCCACAGTATAAAAACAGTTTGCCATTACCTTCTTTCAAGGTATCTTTTTCAAGTTCCCAGTCTTACCTACAACCCTGGGACTTTTGACAATCTCCAAACCAATGAGATTAGTGAGGTCCATTGTTGCCAAGCTTTTTCAAGATCAGCTTGTGGTACAACTTGCTGGGATATATTACTCTATAAACATTTTAGGGTAGGCTTGTATATATGCAACAACCTTTGCAGTGCACTTTTAAAGATATATTGTTGCAGCTACATAAAAGTATAGCCATTGCTGCATGTTAAATCACCTTTGTGGCAATTCAAACTTGAATCTAGAGATGATTGAGCATAATGAACTTAGTTGTATATTGTCCTTTAGGTCTTTGGCTGAAGTCATCACTTCGTATTAAGTATGGAGCAGGATAAAAATGTAACTGCCTTACAGAGTGGGTGACCTTCAGTTTTTATTCAGGGGGATCTAATAAAGATTGGTAACTCACACATGGGAGTTTAAAAAAAAATAAAAACCACCACTCAAAGAACCTACTTTAGAGGTGAAAAAAGCAAAGGAAGTGAGGAAGTAAAAGTCAGGTCTATTTGACATTCGACATTCCATTCCATCCTTTCTTTTATCCATCCATCCATCCATCCATCCATCCATCCATCCATCCGTCCGTCCATTAATATAATGTATAGTTTGGACATAAAACATTAGAATTAGAATGATATGTGAAAGGAAAAGAGAAGACTAAAGTCCAGTCTAAGTATGTTTACGAAGAGTGTTAAAGTTGAGGGTACACAAATAAAGTATCCCTAAATGTTTACTTTCCTTTGGCTGAGCCACTAACCATCGTACATTTAGCTGGGAGACCTGAAAGGGACTTCTTCATGCAACTTCTTAAATGTGTGCAGAAAACTATGTATGATCAAGGAGTTTAAGATTTTATACTCACATATTGCATATGGCAATCATCCTACATAAGTTCCAGTCATTCCAGAAGAAGGGCAGTGGAGACCAAGTGGGGCTCTGACTCAGTAATGAGTGGCTGTATCGGCCATATCTGCTGATATTTACCAGGCTCGAGAGGCCTTTTCAAGTAGAGCTTTAATCTAGAACCTAAAACGATCAATTCCAAATTGCATGAAAGCCTTTTTTTTGGGGGGGGGGGATGTTTCATAGTTAGAGATTCACATGCAATGGTGAGATCAAACAGCAACAAAGTATGAGGGTGAAGACTATGGCAAAAGCTTACTTCAGTGTTTGGGAGGGAGGAATAAAGCGAAAAAGATCACAGACAATATTATAATTGGGTAGAAGATGGTCAGCTCATTTTCCCCCTTAGCTGTCTTTAAGTAAAAGCAGCAGAAGTTATGAAGCATGTAAATTTTGAGTGCAGCATGGCATTTGGCCATGGGTCTTGATAGAAGTGCTTATACCACACTGGCTTGATGTTCATGTCTGAGACCACTGGGATTGGATTCCTGTTTAGGGGTCTTCCCTCTTGCATGGGTATAATGAATGCAGGGCCATTCTTTTACATAAATATCATTCCCGCCATTGCTTAAAAAACAATTCAATATTCATGGAAAGAATCTTTAATAAGCTTGAAGATCTAAATCTTTTTGCACCGTGACACTGCTGCCCCCCCACAAGGAATATTACTGAATGGCCCTATGAGTGATGTTCTTACTGGGGAAGTTGAATATGTAAATTCATTTTCCCCCCCTCACATACCATTTTTTTTGCCTCCTTTTTTTTTATAAAAAAAATTCTAATAACATTTGTGGATTTTACTCATATGTTATTTTTTAAGAAATGAGCCAGCCAACATTTTCACTTCTCTGTCCTCTTACAAATCACACTAGATAGTTAACAGAAGTCTATCTTTCTAAAATGAAAAATGTGGCCACTTGAGGTGTACTGTGTGTCTGTTATGGTACAACATCCTGAAAAAGCAAGGTCCTTCCAGTCTGCAGGATTAAGGTACAAGTAAGTCATCAATAAGAAATGCCATTTTGCTTTGATAGGAACACTCAGATTTATGACTCAAGAGTTACAAAAGAATCTTACATTAAGTTGCTTTTAAGTTTTCTTTTGATTGGTATTCCTCTGTCACCTCTCCCCAACTTTCTGGTCACACATTACAGTATCAAGGATGTTATTCATTTCTGGAAAGGGAAAAAAATGAATCCCACAGCATTTCTTTTTAATAACTGTTCAGCTACAAAATTTTATTGGTATCCTTTTATGTTCCCTCTAGAGGATGTAATGCACAAAAGCATTGCCACGGAACATATAAAATTACAAATGAAATTTATTGTAAAAAGTAGAATGTCTTCTAGACAGGTGTCAGTATTTATTTTCATTCATAAAACAAAGCCAAAAAAAATTTGCAGATATAATATATTCATTTGTCAGCAAGTTCATGGGTGTAAATTGCCATCCAACGTTATTGACTGATATAAGACAGATATTGAAAAGACAATTTAAATTTACTCTTCCAAACATTAACTGTTCCACAAAAGCACTGTAAAAACGCCTCCATGATTTGTTTGTTTTCTGTTGTGCTTCACACTTATGGTTAACTACATAATTTGGTTGTGTCATAATCCACTGTGTTTGGCAATTTGGCATTGAAGGCCTGCAAAGCTGATTGAATCCTCACCACTTCACTGGTAGAAAGCTTGAGTCTATGACGCAGTAGGCATGAGAAAAGATCTAGACGACGTTGACCAGGAGGAGAAAGTTTATTTACACGGTCCCGTATCTCTAGTAGCTGTAAGAGTGCACTGTCCTGGGATCCCTGAGTGTAGGGGTAGTCCAGTTGCAAAATCAAATCTCGGATTGCTTCCGGGTCAAAGTGCATGCTGTAGCCAAACACTTGGATGCTGTTGATTTTCATATAGCCCAGGTTCCGGGAGGGATCAATAAACTCCAGGGGTTCATAGTAGATGCTGTCATTGCCGTTGGGACCATTTGACTTAATACGACTCCTCAAGTAGATGTGGACTGTTTCAAAAAATGTCTTCCACTTGTTGCCTAGAGTCAGCGTCCAGTTATAACACTGAAGTGGTAAGTCCAGTTTAGTCCGTTCCCAGTCTGGGAAACTGTTTTCATTAACAGGCATAAACCAACTCTCAGAGTGGCTGCCTCCAAAGGGGTTGACGTAAACAGCCAGGACAGGCTCCAAGGTGCTGTTCTTAGTTAGGCAAATTTGAAGAGAGAGACCCAATATCATATGGACCAGGCTAGATTTGTACTTGTTGCTCTTTAGGGTAAGAAGCATCCGTTTGCGCCAGGAAGGGTCAAACCAGCTATTGAGACGCATGTCATTGCTGATGAAGATTGCATGGACCTCAATCCGGCGGTCCGTTTTCTGCAATAAATACTTCATCTCCAAATCCTGTAGGTCAGTCTCAAACCCAATGTAGTGTTCTGTGGAATCTGCCACTTCAGGCTTGCAAAGCCCTTGGCTCAGCATGTATCCAGTGTTACAGGTCCCACAGCGGGTACGATTATCAGGTGCACATGTCAGGCAGGCAGAACCATCTCCCACACTACATGGTAGGGAGCCAAGGCAGGCAAGCTGGTCATTTGGGCATGTACATGAATGAGTCTTTTCAGAAAAGCTGCCCAGAAGGCCATTTTCATTGCAGTAAAGGAAGGACTGGATGCGATTTAGCCAATAGAGAGATGATCTGTAAAGTAAACATGAAATTAATGAATACATAGTGAGAGGTAGATCAAAGTAATATAATTAAGCTATTTTTAATCACTTTGAGGCAAAAACTTCCCTTGATATATTGAAAAACCGCCTGACATGATTTATTCATACTAAATTAAAAACACTTTCTAAAGTGTAATGATTAAAAGAATGAGGTGCAATCTAAAAAGTTCTTGCTTGTAATCTTACTTTAACCATCAATTTCCTGGAGGGCCTAAAACAAAGCATAATCACTCAAGTGTATAAACACACAACAAGATGCAAAAACGCAAATCCTCTGTAATAGGAGAATAACATTTCCTTGAAGCATTCAAAGGGAAGCTCCTTGAAGCATTGACTCAGCTCCTTTGACAGCCTTCATAGGAGATCCCTGCTTGCAGCTCCTCTTCTCTGTTCATGTATATGCACATGGGAGCAACCAGGAAGGGCCTTGATACAGTTGCAAAACTTTCCACAGGATACAGCTGTCTCAATGCTTCACGAAGGGGCTTTGAAAAGGGTTGCACCTAGTTAGTGCTTTGATGGATGACCACCAGAAAATCCCAGGACTTTAGACAAGACTCACAGATAAAAAAAAAAAAAAAATCACTGAAGGTAATGGTAAACTATTACTATATTGTTACCAAGAAAATAACATGGATGTGCCCACATATTCACCAGGAGTCAAACTTGTCTGGTAAAAGGCTGTGGTTGAATGCTTTGTGACATAATATATACAAAACAAAACACCCTTCATTGTGGTACCCAGAGTAACATATTATATGCACTATTCTTGTTACAAAACTTTGTTCACATGTCTGTTGATAACACTGATATCGGTGTTGCTTACAGCATCTCTCTTGCCCATTTTATCAGAAATTTAAGCTAAAGACATATTAGTCAAAAAGATCTCTCCTGGATTTCTGAAAATTCCAAAATTGTATTCTGAAAATTCCAAAATCATATTCTGAAAACTCCAAAATCATATTCGAAAATTTCTTACCTCACACCACCATTTCTTTCCAATAATAAATGACTTCTAAGAGCTGAATCTGAGTTTAACTGATTCCAAAATTCATGTCTTTTTCAAGGAGATCCTGACAACCAACAACCTATTTTTCAAGTTGGAGTGAGGAACTGAACTCTCTCAGGGTTTAATAAGTGTTGTTCATTAAAACATCAAAATGACATTTTTTCCCTTCATTCTTATGAGACCAAACTTTTTTTTTTTTCTGGAATACTAAAAGTTACTGGGGAAAATGGCACAATTTTCTGTATAAAACATAATGGAATGTGCTATTAGAATACTGTGCATTTTTAGAATGTGCAGAACAGACTAATGATGATATTTCTTGATGTAACTGCCATCTCACTTCTCTCACTTTCAGGAGCAAACTGAGATGACAGTGGGAACTTTCAAGGTTCTAGACAGAGGTGGGGCAAGATAAATGCAGAAAAGATGTTTTAAGGACAAAATCAAGAAGCCAGAATCTTCACTATGTGTGTGCTTTCCAGAATGCTTGTTCCAGTATTAGGAATATATGCATTGTCAAAAAGAATATTGTGGGTGTAGCTATGCAGAGTTTTATTTAATACTGATGAATTCTGTATCTAATTTGTTGCTCAACACATGTAAAAATGCAAGAAATCAAATGTTTAGCTTTAAAACTTTAATTTACTAGAATGTTAAGCTTGGCAAGGAAGAAAAGCAATACAGTAGAAGTGGGGGTACTGGGCCAATTCCAACCTGAGTCTAGGCAGTAAAGCTGGGCAAATATCAGATCCACTCTTTGCTTAGCCTCCAACATAAATATAGCAAGTGGATCCTGATTATCTTCCTACCTCATTTCCTATAAAAATTATATTTTTAAGGCCCAAGGATGTATAGCTCTTACATAGCTTGATCTGGTTGGCAATAAGACCCTGACAATATTCATTGCATTGGGTGTTCAACAATTCAGTTGGTTGGATGACCATTCTACCTACTCAGTAGTGACTGAAGTGCTCACAAGTCCTATCTGGAAGATGCCCTCCCCCCCTCCACTTTTTCACTTTAGGACTTGATGTTTCTTAGTTGATGTAACTTTCAAATCTTTGCCCTGATAAAGACATCTAGCTAATTACTTAATGTGGCACAGGGAGGTTGGGGGTGGTTTTCATGCCATAAAAAAAGAGACCCTGGCATCCCAAATGAGTACCAGTTCTCTCCCTGGGTCCTTCCTCTTAATGAGAAAAGCCTTGACTTTTCCACCAAATAATACCAAATGAACAAATACCAATATTAGCCAATTATCCTGAATCTCAAGCTCCTAACAACTCTGTACTGTACTATACTATACTATCAGGAATGAAATACCAAAGCCTAGTTCCAAGTCATGAGCTTCAAGATGTTAGCTTCTAAATCCAAGAATTTGCAGGAATGATTTCCTTTGCAACAATAACATTGCAGAAGTTTGAAATTCAAAGGGCTTTATGTTCATAACTGTTTCTTAGCTCTCATGTCTATGATGCTAGTTTTTTTTGTTTTTGTTTTTTGATGCCTTCAAGTCAGTTTTTGACTCCTGGCAACTGCCTGGACTAGTCCCTGCAGTTTTCCTGGCAAGGTTTTTTGGAAGTGGTTTGTCATTGCCTCCTTCCAGGGCTGAGAGAGTGACTGGCCCAAGGCCACCCAGCTGACTTTCTGCCTAAGGTGGAACTAGAACTCATGGTTTCCCAGTTTCTAGCCTGATGTCTTAACCACCACACCACACCGGCTCTGCTAGGTAGATATCTGTTTTTCCCCCCAAGATTTGGATACTTTAAACTTTAAACAATGCCTAGCTCATATATTTGCATTATCACATTTTACTGAGGCAACTGGGCTGTTAACTCAGCAGAATAACCACTGAGAAGCATTGACTGAAGTGGCATTTCAGTCCTAGAAGTAAATAAAAAATAAATATATATATATTTTTTTCATGCTGGAAATACATTGTACACCACATCTTTGCACAGACTCCTGGATTAAAGGAATATTAGACAGGTGGATGAAGGAGTCTAATGATCTGTGACAATCTATAATGCAATCATTATAATATATTGTACTCATGAGACTATATGATTTCAATCATATATCATCCTGGAATAGTCTCATTAGGAAGATCATAATGATTCCATCCTTTAAGACCAAAAACATCTGGCTGTATTAGAGTTATTTCATAGCCAGGCAGATCACTGGGGCACTTCTTGGAGCCCCAACAAAAAATAGTTGATAGATACAGCACGTACAGTATAGAAGTGTGCCTGTGTTTTCTGATCTCACTCTCCCCTCCTCTCCACTTCCCTCCCCTCCCCTTTGCTTTTTTGTTTTATGCTATTCATTTTTAGACTTCAAACCAGAGGACAGAGACTATCTTTATTGATCTGTGCGCTGTTCTGGAGTCTTCCTGGCTAAAGAATGGGATACAAATGCTTTAAATACATAAATGCTAGTTTTTATGGAGCCCCTGGAGTAAGTTCTTATATTTCACAAAGAACTCTTCAAATTGAGCTTGATGTTGAGCTGTATTGTAACCAAATCACAATTATGATTTATACTTCAAAGCATCAGAACATAGTGAAAGGGATACACACAGACACAGACACAGACACAGACACACACACACACACACATTCTTACAGCTCTCTAATAATATTAGGATATACCCACCAGTCTTAATCACATATTTAACAAAATTATATTGGCTGGTAATGGCCTTTATTTCAAATACTGTGATGTTGATCCAAATGTGATTAATTCAAACAGATTTTCATTATAGTCTCATGTTTAGAACTGAGGCTTTAATTTCTGAGTGTAATACTGTCAAGCCCACCTCAGGTGTAAAGAGCATAAAGTGCAGAAATCCATGTGCTCATTCAATCTCTGCAAAGTTTAAACAGAATGGTTAAAGGCTACTTTTAGTGTCCAGATATCTCTACATAATGTTTCCTGGGCTTATGTGTCAATGCAGTTTGGGTTCTTCTGATTTAATGGGTTCTGAGAAAACAAGGAAGCAAGATAACAATTCAAGATCACTGGATTTTAGTTCAATCTTGTCTGAATATACTGAATTATTGGAGCAGATGGTAGCATTTAGTGAACCTCAGTTGATCTCAAAAAACCTAGGCAGGGTGAGGCCTGGTTAGGCTATGATCAAAGGCAATAGGAAATCCTAGGGCCGTAAGTTGAAGACTGGGAAGTTGGAAAAAAAAAATCCTTGAAAATGACAATGGCAAAAATCTTTTGCATTATTGCCAAGAAACCAACATGGACATGTCCATGTAATGATCATGAGTCAAACTTGCTTCAAGGGAGATTTTGCTTGTTAATGGTGCACTGATAGACTTTGTTTTTAAGTAATATATTATGAAACTATCTTTTGAATGTATTATTTTTAAAGTGGTATAAGTTTCACCACATATTTTGGTGATGCTTTTGAGAGACTTATTCCTGTTGATTCCTAACATATAGCTCTATAAACAGATTTTGATAGACTCAGTCCCAGCCATGCCATTCTAACAATTTCAGGCAAATAGTGTGAAGGACAGAAAAAGGGAATGAATGTAAATGAGTTTGACTGTTGCCAAACTTTCTAAGGGGTGGTCCTGGTGGGTTGGGTTTGGACTCCATCTCAGGCAGCTAAGTGACCTGTCTTGATAAGCTTATTATTGATTGTAATTCATTTGATCCAAGATGTTGGAGAAGCAACAGTTGACTGCATTCCACAAAAGTGGATGAAGCAACAAATAACCATGAACTGTTGGATTGCTGTGATTTGAAAGGATAGCATGTTGGAGTCTAAGATGAGCTGACTACCTCATTTATGTTTTAATTACAATAGATTAAAAAACAAACAAACAGGAATTTGGGGTGTATATTTGGGTACCATTTGAGTTAGCATGCATATCCCAAGGGGAGGTACTCATTTCAGTTTAATATAAAGATAGAGCATTCATAATTCTTTGTTTCAGAATTAA